TTTGTTGCTGGGTCTTCAACGTTGAAATCCGTTTTATGTTCTTCCGCTTTCAATCTTGGTAAACTACTGAGTTCTAATCTTCTCAACGCGCTGAATGTGACTCCACCTTCCACATTGTCATTATTCTCATTCTTTACAATTTTCTCCATATTTTTGCAATCATCTATTTCCAACGTTTCAAGATTCACCAAACTTTTGGCTGCTGAATTTGTCATTAAATAGTTGAGCCGATGACATCGGGACACATTTAGCACTGTCAAATTATGAAGTTGTTGAATTTGATGAACAATGGGTGATGGGAATATCTCCTCGAAAGAACTATCCTCCACACGAAGCTCAGTCAGCCGCGGAAATCTTTCAAGCATTGTATACGGAAATGTTGCCCCTTCATCATCAAATCCTTCTATGCCCAGAATTTCCATTTGAGCAAAACAATCCGCTGGAAATTGGTCATTCCTTATCATGCTGACATCATACTCATCTAACACCATCTTTATTGATGCCACAAATCTCTGTAAAATAGATATTGAGTCAGAAGCATGGTAATATTAATTTATTAATTATGTAGCAACTTCTAATTGAATCAGTAATATTATTTTGTTTTTTATTGTGTCCCAAGATCAAATGCGCTCACTAGAAGTGCGAAACATTTTGATTTCATTTATTTTTCATAATTAATTTTGAAAAAGAAATAATTATATTAGCCACGACAAAAAACAATAATGCCGACACATTTCACTGTGTATCGCATTAATCATTAAATTAGGACGTAATTGTTTGGGATATTTTATAATTAAAGTTATGTAATTAAAAAAATAACTGCTCCCTCCAGTTCTTTTTATAAAAATTTGAAATTTGAATGGTCTTAGTTTTTTTTATAAGAGCCACCTGGATTGTCACAACATTTAATGTGTTTTTATCTTTTTTGTCTCTAATTAATTTTATACATTACATTAATTAAAAGGCTGACAACTTGCTATATTATCTTATCTTTCATTTTTTTCTCATTACTACTCTATTTTCTCTCTTATTTTTTCCCCCATAACTAAGGGTATATGTGGGAAAAAAATTCATTTCTTATTGAAACATTTCGCTGTGTATCCCATTAATTAATTAATTATGATGGAATTGTTTGGGATGTTTTTGGGATGTTTTATAATTAAAAAATGATAACTAAAATTTTAGTAGAAACTTCAAAACCGAAACATGTATAGGTATATTTATATTAAATATCATAACAATGGAACGTTTATAGATTCATATTTTTGTAAAAGCTGGAAATAGGAAGAATGGAGCATTCTAGACGTACCTGTTGGTAGAATGTTTTGTTAAGATTGGTGTCCCAAATTTCATGTTCTCCATACCTATCTTGTGACAGTAGAACGCTTTTAAGAGATGGTGTGTCAATGAGTCCTGGAGAGAATACTTTGAATTTCGGACATTCTGTTGTGATCAGCTGTTCCAATAACGGAAATCTGAAAGTATAATTGTAGCGGCAAAATCTCTTCAATTCTCGTAACCCTTCAACTTTCAAATGCTGCAACTTGCTGAAAATGACTTCCTCATCGTCATCATCCTCTCCTTCCTGCTTCCATATAATTTCCTTTATGTTAGAGCACCAACTAATTGAGAGACTTGTGAGATGGACCAAGCTTCGAGCAACTGATGACGTCATCAAAGTGGTCAACTCATAACAAGATGCCACGCACAGATGTGTGAGATTTGGTGAAGAAACTAAGAGTGGTACCAAGCTCGTGATATTGTGAATAACCCGAAGAGTCAATTTTATTGGAAGAGGAACATCATCCCCTCCAGAAGCCTTCTTAATGTGACCCCACAGTGTCAGCTCCTCTAAATTTGGAAAGCTCTTCAACAATTTGTATGAAATAGTCGTTGCTTTATCACCAACATATAGATGAAGCAGCTTTACTTTGGGGAAGCGATACGTTGAAAGCTGGCCACTCCCTATCATCTCAGCTCCTTTACCCCACAATGTCAACTCCTCCAAATTATGAGTGACCTACACAATACATAAATCATAACTAAATGTAACAACTAATCAATGCGTCAAAATCCAGCCGTGTGCAGTTTTTTAGGAGGATATCTTCAAATTTAAATTTGATGCATCCACAATTTTGACGTACGTGTATTTTGTAACTACAAATAATAATTATGATACATTAAAATGAATATAAATTTCTAAACTGGAGTTTCTATCTTTGATTATGACATACAAACATTATTTCTTCCTTCGTTAGTTTTTTAAAAAAAATTATCAAATTAAAGCTAATAAGGGCTTGAAAAAAGAAAAAAAAAATCCCCTCCCTTGATTCAATGACACACCTCTTTTCCTTGGAGATGAAAAGCTGAGATTTGGAGTCTCACTTTTTTAAAAAAGAAAAAATAGAAAATTATTTAATTAATTTCTAATATCTAATATTAATTAAAATAATTATTATGAATTATTCTTTTTTAGCTTTTCAAGTGAATAACCAAATTAATCCCAAACTACATTATATTCTAATAAATGGTTTAGTATCAGGAATAATTCACATACTTGAGTACTCAAAAATATCAAATTCAAACGTGCTCTTAGACTGTGAAACAAAATATGTTTCATTATTTATTTTAATGCTTAAAGTTATTTTCTGCTCTTTTATTAGATTGTTTTTAAAATAAATAACACATGAATAGCCAATTTAGAGATGTACCTTGTCATAGGATAGTAGAGGATATTTTGAGCCTAATGAGCTCCCTTCCTCATGTATTTCTAATGAACTTGAGACCTCCTTTTCAAATATCTCCAATTCATCACAACCTTCAATAGATAATCGATAAAGATGTGGCCATTCTAATGTGTGTCTCTGTGGATAGAAATTCCTCAAATTTCTAAGCGAAGAAAGCTCAAGGAAAGTCAACTTGGGAAACTTCAACAGAGGAGCAATAGATTCTGAAACTTGATCTTTTGCAACAATCACCCCTATACCACAATCACTTATTCGAAGCTCTTCAAGATCACAAAGCATGCCTTTGGCTATAGATGCAGGAAACAGACTAGTGAGGCTTTCACAATAGGAAACACGCACGCTCCTTAGACTTGGGAAGGAGACATCTCCTTCATAGTAATTGCTCCACACATTCTTTAATTTTCGCAATCCACATAGCGTTAACTTTTTCAGTGGCACAATCACTGATGATGACTCCGCCTCTTTATAATCATTCAAGTCTTCAAAATCAAACACCAACTCCAACCTGTCACAGCGCCTAACTTCTAGTTCTTCCAAGTTGTTTAAAGATTTCAGCACACGAAGGGGCACCAATTTCACAAAGCCACAATTTTCCACAAACAATGTTTTCAAGTTCCTAAATGAGTTGTGTGAAAGTTGGTCCTCCCATATCAATGGAATCAAACCGATTGAATTAGATAATCGCACTATCTCTAATTTTGGAAGCAACACCTGTAGTTTACAGAAAATATGATCAAATGAAAATCACTTTTAGTTCGTAGGCTTACTTTTCATGAAAGATTGTTTAAATGTCTAGATAAAACTCTCATCCACAATATTTTTCAAGAGATTGCTGAAAGTTCAATCTGAAATTCCAAGTTAAAAAAAAAAAGTAATCAAAAAATGAAAAAAAACTGTAAAATGCCATTTTAGCAAGCTTAATACCAAAGCAAGTACTTCTAGTGAATGTAATTTTTGCAGATACGTTAATTAAAAAAAAAGAACAAAATAAGAACAAACTTGAAAAATGCCACAATAGCCTGACAACAAAGTAAACAATTCTAGTAAAAATTAATTTTTGCAGGTAACTAAGTTTGAAATTTTGTCAGAAAATTAAAACAAAAAAAATAAGAATAATTACAATGAATAGTCATCAAAACCACGAGCCACATTCTCAGATATTTTAGTGACAAGGACAATTTCCAAAAATATCAAATTAAGGTGCTTTTAGGCTGACAAATAATTTGAGGCATCATTATTTATTTTAACACTTGGAGTTAGCTTTTCTCTTTTATTAGTTAATTTTAAGTCATTCAAAAAAAAAGAAAGCTACAACCTTCCATAATAGCCTAGCAGCAAAACAAGTAATTCTAGTGAAAATGATTTTTGCATACAAGTTTGAAGCTAAGTTTTGTAGGAAGATAAAATAAGAAAAAATGTGAATAAAATAATCTGAACATACCTTGTTCAAAAGCGACTCAGACATTTTATTGGATATGTTATTTGTTGCTGCTTCATGATGTGCTGAGTTCCAAACAATGGACTCAATAGCATCGTTACTTTCAATCTGAAGATGCCTTAAATGCAGAAATGATCTTCCATCATGACCATGTAGAACATTTTCAAGCCCATTAGATCCATATAAACACAAATCTTCAGCTCCTTTCATCAACTTTCGAACCCCAGGCTTCAAATAGATATCACTCTCAAGCTCAAGTTTCAATACCTTTGAAGTTTTATAGCTGACCGTCCACCATTTCCAGGGCTTCCCAATGAGTATTTTGTATCTCATCAAATTCATATCTAAGAACAAATTCTCCGGCAACATCGAGACATTAGGAATATGAATATCTAGAGAACAGATTGGCAAGCCCTTCAACTCGTCAAGACTCGCGTTTTCATTAGCTTCAGTAGATCCTTCAACTTTCCACTGGTGAAAGCTATTTCCCATAAGCAAAACCCCAATTTTTTGAAGCTAGATAGCAGTTTTGGTGGAATCACTTTGAGCTCGGAGCAATGGGCTAAATTCAACATTTGTAAAGAAGTTAACTCTGCCAATTCAATAGGTAGTTGTTGAATTTCAGAGTAAGCAAGACTTAGGACTTCTAACTTCTTCAAGCTTCCAACCTCAATTATGTTTCCTAGCAAACAAGAGTGGAGACACAATGTTTTTAGTTTTTGCAGGAACATGAGTGATGCTAGTGACGAAATATGCACATTGGTAAGTGCCAACACTTTCAGCTTCTTTGATGATTTGAAAAACATCCTAGGTATGGCCAAATCACGTTTTGTGCTGTCTAGCAGAAAGAATTCTAATCTTGGACCATGAAGCTCTTCTGGAAGGTCACTGATGTCACTCTTTTGCAAGCAAATTCCCTTGTAGTCTTCAAGCTTATTTTTTTCAGGCCATTCTTTCAAGCTTCCATGCCTCACAATGAATGCATTTAATTCATCGGTTGCAATCGATATTGCAAGATCTCGAAAGACATCATGTATTGTAAAGTAATGACTAGAAAAGCTATCAAGAAATAAGTTTAATGATTTTAGATTACTTACGGCAGCAGAGACTCCAATGCGGGCATCTTCTATGTCTTCTATGCCGTCAAGAATATCTAACCCCATAGAGTACATGAGCAGGTCATCAATTGAGGGATCATGGGACAGCATGGCGGAGAGCAAGAAGATACGTTTTTTCTCTAAGCTTAGACAATCATAACTCGACTTCAATATCACATCCACCTCTTTAATTCCTGTGATGTTTCTCCTTAAAGGATGATTCAATCGTTTACAGAAATCTTGCCACTCATCTAGATTTTTTCCCTTTAGTGCCTTGGCAGCTGCTGCAATCGCTAATGTCAAGCCATGACACTTTCGAACAATCTGATAGGCTATAGATATCAAGTTGTCAGGAGTGCTTGAGTCAATAGGAAGTTCAGAAATCCTCTTGAACAACTCTAATGCTTCATCCTTTGACAAAACGTCCACTTCGATAATTTTTTGACATTTCATGCCATTTGACAGCAAACTCTTATTCCTTGAAGTTAGTAAAATTTTGCAGCGTTCATTCTTTTTGCTAGAACTTCCAACATCAACAAAGGGAATTCCAACTTCGCCTAAATCAAGTTCCTTCCAAAGATTATCCAATATTAGGAGCATATTCTCCTCTTGCTTCAACCTTTCACATAGACGATAAGCTCTTACTTCAAATTTTTCATTGAGTTGAAAACCCAGCTTCTCTGCAATCTGGCCTTGAATCTTCTCAACGTCCAATTCATTAGAAACAGTTGCCATGATCACCTTTTTAAACATGTTTTGATTCTTCGCCTTCTCTGCCACCTCTTTAGCTATAGTGGTCTTGCCAACACCGCCAAGCCCACACAATCCGACAATATTAACACTAGGATTATCTAAGAGCTCCATAATTTGATTCACAATTTGCGTTCTAGAACCAATCCGTTCGTTGCTTTTTCTGTTGAGTAATTCTGGCATCGATGGGGGAGGAACAGGATATGCAACCCTATCAAAGTTTCTCTTCCCATAGATTTCAACAACTTGCTGTGCCATTTCCTTTGCTCTTTTGCTTAGTTTATAACGTAGCCACAGGTTGGGACAGGAAGTCACGCTACACTCTGTTTTTGCTTGACTCTCTTCTTCATGAAACATTTGTGTTTGCGTTAAAATCTCATCTACTTTGCGCAACCAATGCTGAACTTTCTCTTCAATTTGTTCTAAATTTTTTCTAGCATTATCTATTTGCTGTTGTTTGGAGCTTCTCTCAAGGGTGAGTTCCTTAAGTCGTTCATTGAGCTCCTCAATGTTTCTGTGATACTGAAACAGATAACGAAGCTGCTCCCAAGTTAGATCGATCACTAGATCCCGGAACTTGTCAGCCAAACTACTCAATGTTCCGCAAGTGATATCCATTGAATATGCACTCTGTTAAAAACATATCCAAAACTCAATTAAACTTGGGTTGTGAATTGATGCAGAAATATTGGCACCCTTCAAACAAATGTCTCACCTTTTTTGTTCGAATTAATGACGATGCAAAACTTGATTTCCACTTTCCCCTGTCTTTCCTTTTTCACCCTGTGGAAATCAAAGCAAGAGTTTGGTCATTCAAATGATCACGATTGACAATATTAAATTATTTGCAGTCAGAGTATTTTTTGTTTTCATTCATGCAATATCAAGACATGATCACTAAATTTTGCACCCCTGCAAATAGATATTTGAAATTCTAGAAACGTCACCATGCAGGTGAGGTAAGGTGATAGGCAAGCTTATCATTAAACAATTAGGACATAAATTTAAAGTGCAGTTTTCTTTCTTCTTGAAGGAGCATAAAAAACCAGCAAAGTTAAAAATGATCACAAAAAATGCAAAAGGAGAAAACTTATGATTTTCTTTTATTTTTTAATAAGAAAAAGAGAAAGAAAAACAAAAATCAGAAAAGAAAAATTGCAGAAAAAATGTTTAAGAACAAGTTGAGAAATCAAGAAACAAGAAGTAAGGAATGCTGTGCAATTATGAAAGAAGACAGAGAGAACCAACAGAAATATAGCATAAATTGCCAACACCGCCGTGGTGTAGTGGCACGTTGGTTGCCTTGGGTGCAACAGGTCGCGGTTTCGATCCGCTCCACAAGCACTAGCTTGTTGATGTTGATTCAAAAAAAAAAAAAATATAGCATAAATTAGTAACTAGTGCCAAGAAAAGGAATAAAATTCAGGAAAAAAAAAATTCTGAGAAAATGCCAAAGAAGAAGCAGGCATGAGGCTTTGGGAGGAGTAGATCGCCAAGGCTCTCGTGCATAGAGGAGTCAATGTAGCATAGAGCGATGAATGAGACCCACATTAATTAAAAAGAAGAGGGCTGCATTAAAGTAAAGGCACTATTTTGAAGTTGATTTGGAGCACATGACATTGGCAAAACACATAATGTCATTTGTTACGAAGATAGAAATTGAGATTGAGAAAACAGTGTTAGCATAAAAAATTGATTATTACACGGTGGCGTGTAGGGTCTGAAGTGACAAAAAAGCACGTGGTCCCCCCACGATTGTTACTTTACTATTCTTTTTGGTTTTAAAATTATAAACTAATTAATTAATTCACATGAATTAAAAAAATCACTCATTTAATTATTTATATTGAAATAAATTACAACATAGCATATAAATTATACAGTTATCTTATTTAAGATTGTTGAATGCTATTGCCAAAATACTTTTTTTAAGGAAAAGGCAAGAACATAGCGTTGCGAAAATGTGTTGAAAATTGTACAAAACAAACCACCTTTACATTTTCAAGATTTCATTTTCATATGCCAAAATATTAATTGATTGTTAAATTACACATTTTAAGCCAAAATATCTCTCTCTAATAAAATGCTGTTCAAAATTAATTCAAAATTATAATTTCATAACATATATTTGCAAACTTGTTTTATTCATATATTAAATTTAAATGTCTAATTCATGTGAACTCCGTGTTTTCAACCTCAGGGACTAATTAATGATTCCAACAGTAAAAGCTAGAAGAACCAATTAGTCAAAGTTTCAATAAAATTAATATTTAATGGATCGAATTATACATAGTTAAAGACTTAAAGTTCAGTCAATAATCAAATTAAAATTATGAGACCAAAATGATTAATTTTTCCCTCAAAAAGCTCGGATTTTAGCCCCCCCAAAAAAATACAAGGGGGCATCCTTGGAGATAATGTAAAACTAGGGCAGCCACACCTTAATAAGTAACTTGCCCTCAATATATGGTTGGAAGTTGGAACAAGTTTCTTCTTCTTTTGGTTGGTTGGTTGCTGTCTATATTCAGAAACACAAGAATATGCTGCAAAAGTTGAAAAACAGATTGAACTTAGTAAATATAGATCAATTAAACACAGACTGACATGGATATATATTTTCAAACTTACAGTAGTGACCGATGTGAAACTTTGCAATTTCAAGGTGTATGTAAACCTCAATCTCCCAATAGTAATCAGCTTTCCTCAGTGTTCCAACACAGATCAAGCAAGAGACACCTCTCTTTTTATGGTGTTTTGAACAATTTTGAGAAACAAACGCTTCATAACAATAGAAGACAACTATAAAATGCGAAAGTTTACAGAGAAAGATGACGAACTTGTGAAATTAAACAGGAAAAAACAATATCAACTAAGCAACAAAATATCAGAAATACGATGAAAAAGCAGTTTTTTTAAAAAATATTTTTGGGATTTTTTTCCTGGAAAAAATATCACAAAACCAGAAAAATAAAGTTGAAAATGATCACAACAAAGAAGAGCCGGAAAAAAATGCAAAAGGAGCAAATTCAGGATTTCCTTAAGAACATTTCTTTTAATATGGGTGAGACAGAGAGAAAATAGAAATCAGGAAAAACAAGCAAAACCCAAAACGCCCAAAAGACGTTAAGGAAAAAAAGTATTAGCAAGGAGCGATGTGAACAGTGAAACCATGAAAGAAGATTTAAGAGCCAACGAAAGTTGCAAAAACAGTAAATTCAGAAAGTAAGGAAAAGGAAATCAGAAAGTGGAAATGCAGAGATGATGAAGCAAAAGAAGAAGTTGAGAAAGCAGTAGAAATTTGCAGCAGGGACAAAATGGGAGATTTGTTAAACTATGGAGAAGAAGAAGCAGATCTGAAGCTTTAGGTGGGAGGAGTAACTACAAAGTGGAGTCAAGTCAATGCAGAATGGCCAGGACACAGGACACCAGGGGGTTCATATTATTATTATTATTGGGGGGGGAAAACACGTTGTACGGTTTAGGAGAATTATTTGCGTGTCCTTTGTTCCAAACAGTGTTGAA